TTAATGTTTGATTGACCTCCTGGACACCATATTAAAACAAAGAAACAAACAAAAATTCATCTTTTTCCATTTTCATACATTTTTGAAAAAACTCCAGGGAGCCGCAAGGGAGGGGGCATTAAAGAGCCCCAGGTTGAGGACCTCAGCCTCAGGAAGATTAGGACAAAAGGGATATACAGACAAAGCAAGAAGCCACCTCTTTAGTTGTTTCTAGAGTAAAAGAAAAACTCCTATATGAAAAACACTTTATATTGACTAATGGTAGAAAATGATGGTCACACAGAGCCTCATGTATGATGGTGAGATCCAAGGAAGGAAGCTGGGTTTAATCACTGGTCTGAGTCTACAAACTGCTTTTAAGAAGCACACCAGAGGATGAGCAGCTGGTGTTACTTTATTAAAACTAACATGACAGGCAGAAATAGCAGCCAGGTAGACCTTAACTGTTTAAAATGAAAGATCCTTATGCAGCAGTCCTTGTAGAAAAATTTAAAGTTCTCCCATCAAGAACTGCCCGTCCTCACACTGCTGCCATTTTTTTGCATATAAGCCTGTCATGGAGGATGAAATAAGAAACTGCTGTAAAACAAAAATAACGTCATCTTTTTCTGTTGGAAAACTGTTGTGTTGAAAACAAGGGAAAGTAGACTTGTTTAAAAAGAAAACGGACTTGGTTATAGTTCATGTTTTTAAAGCTTTGTCTCTGTCCCTCAAAAGGCCAAATTATGCTTCTGATGCATAGCCTCTGCACCCGTCAAATCTTTCTCCACGCCCCCCCCGTGCAGAAGTTCTGCAACCGTCGTTGCGCACCTCAAAAAAATCCTGAGTACAGGTCAGAATAAAATCTCAACTACTTCGTCCTGTTTGAAAGAAAACATAATCTGCCCTGAAAATGAACAGATGCCTATTTAAGGTCCTGACCTAAATCTGATTGAGTTGCTGTAACCTGATCTTAAATAGATGAGTTAAACTTTAAAGACTCTGCAGCCGTCACATCTGTCTCTGTGTGCCCACGAAGGGGTTCCGTAACCGTCATCGCGCACTTCAAAAAAAAATCCTGACTACGTGTCGGACGGCGCAAACCCGCGCAGACAAAAAGCAGCTGTGATTGCTCCTTGGTATGCCTTTCTGGCCGTCTGTGTGGTCGTCCTTCTCGATTCGGTGAAACAATTACCTAGGACCGCTACAATGAAGGGTTAATCTGTCTTTTTGCCGACTCCTCTTTGATTTCTAGCAACTCTAGATCCATCTCCGTGACCGTGATATCTTGCAGAAGCGCCATTGTTGTTTTGAAAGATAAACACTCCCGCCGGCGCCGTTGAAGTTCTCGTGACCATCCGCCAAAGTTTTCGAATAGGCGCCCCCTTGTGCTTTGGTGGGAAACTGTTGTGCGTCCCTAGAAATTCCAGACTGGGCCGGGGCGCGCCATTTTTAAAAACCGAGGTACAATTAAAATGGACAACCAGGACGAAAGGTTACTCAAGGAGGTTCGCTCCATTAACAGAACCTGTTCCCTTTTTCGATGTCTAGCAACTCAGGATCCATCTCCGTGGCCGTGATATCTTGCAGATGCTCCATTGTTGTCTTTGAATGAACACTCCCGGTGGCACCGCTGAAGTTCTCGTGACCATTTGCTAAAGTTCTCGCAAGTTTTCAAATAGGCCCCCACCTTGCTCTTTAACGGGAAACTGCTCAGCGTCCCTAGAAATTCCAGACCGGCAGCGCAGAAGCATACCAGCAAAACTGATTCCCGACCCAAGCGACATTTGATGTGTGCGGTTGCAGAAGTCTAATCTGCCCTTTACTGTGTGTTTATGGTGTCCTCTCAGAACATAATGAAGTATCTTCAGTCTGAAGCCAGAGAGAAGAAACAGGCTGCTTTCCAGAAGGGCTGGAAGATCGCCATCATCAAGGTGAATCGACGCTCTCTGTCTCTACATGCTGCTGACGTGTTTGTTTCCCAGCATATCTATTGTAGATTATATAAATTTGTAATGTTATTTTAATTAACTTCTTTAATTATGCAAACCGTTCAGTCTCTGCTGGGCAGTCAAGCAACAGCTGCACGGATGGAAATAGTTATTTATAGAGTCTTGTACAGGAAACATTAAGGGTCTTATGTCTGATTTCCTTGTCCTAACAGGGTATCCCTCAGCAAAAAAATGACAGCGACTGTGGTGTTTTTGTCCTCGAGGTAAGATTTTATTCCTGTTTCTGTTTCTTCATGTTTTTCGTGTTTGGCCACTTTTACGTGGTGCAGCAGACAAATCATCAGAGTTGCCTCTTTGATATTTCTGGGTCATATTCCCCTCACTATTTGTCTTTCTTTTTGCCAGTACTGCCGCCGCCTCTCCGTGAAGCAGCCGCTGCTGTTCAGCCAGAACAACATGCCTCAGATTCGGAAGAGAATCTACAAGGAGCTCTGCGACTGTCGTCTCAACGATTAAACGCCTGCCTTCCCCCCCAGTGTGCTCGCCGGGTCACATGAGACCCGCTGTCCTGTTCTTTCACATGACATTCTGACTGACTGTTGAGCTACATGAGCTAACACGGCTTGGCCATCTGTATTTTCAGGGAGTCCTTCCTGCCATCTGCTTTTATAATTAAAAGCAGAGCAGTTCTTGCTGACTTCTAGTGACTTTGGGAGTTCAAAGATCGGTTTGTACTTAAGCTGTATTTTTTTTTTTTTTTTTGTTGCAAACTTGCAAAGAGCTACTGAAGTGGCCCCCTACTGACCCGTGGAAGCCTGAAGTGTCAGTCGTTTTGAGGTGCTGTTTCAGGACTTTGTGCACCAAGTTTATTCTGCTTCTTACATTTACCACTCTGAGAGGATTTTATGTCATAAAACGATCAGAACAAGGCCTCGACTTTGACTGAAGAAATTGTTACACCAACCGTTACCAGTTGGATGAACTTTTCATCTTAAAGTGGCTTTCCTCCCAGAAATACATTTTAAACTGAAGTGAACAGTTCCCTTTGTTCTGGACTTAAAAGCTGTAGTATGTGTTCAGTTAATATGCATATTTTATAACATATTTTAAAATCTACCATGATACATGATGATACAATGGAACAGTTGTCTGCTTAAAACTTGAAGGGTTTGGAGTTGACTTTGTTAATGTGGACTTTTAAATTGCACAGTTACAGGCCTGTTGATTGAAGTCTGGAATATAAACACAATGTCCTCCTTTTTTTTTCTCCATTGCGCAGGTTGTTAATATTGGCTCAAATCTGGGGTCATGTTTCTGTTAGGTTTTACTGCAGTCCATTTCCAAATAAAATTCCAGTTTTTTGAGCATATTAGATTTTGTTTACCCCCACTTTTGCTGATGCCGTTTGTTTATAATGTTTTAAATATTTTCAAGCGTTTGATGAAGCACCTTGTCCAACTTCAAGGTTCTTTCAGACACACTTGCAAATAATTTCAAGCTGTATATCTGCTAGCTTATTTAAAAAACTGCAGGCTTTCTGTTTAGCTCCAAATGGATGCATAATCACACACAGCTGAGGAAAGCTATGAATTAAGCAAAAAGAGAAAACCTCAATGACATTCATTCATTTCTGCAACAAAGAGGAATTCTGTGATTGTTTATCCATTATTTTTGCAAGCAAAAAACATGTTTTATAAATGGAAATAAAAAAAAAATTGAATTTAGAAATGAAACTTTGAAAACCCTCTTAGACAAAAATGTTTTGAATGTTAGTTGGTTGTCTTTCAATTCTTTTTTTTTTTTTTTTGAATCATTTTTTAAACTTTATGTAATTATTTTTTAGTTTTAAAAACTACATTCTATTCAGATTGTGTTTTTCACCGATCACATTCTTCTCCGTTCAAGCCCAGTACCAACGCTGAGTTTTGGTCTGACATCCATGCAGACCAATAGAAATGCGTCTTTGTTCTTCAGTCCAGAAAAAGCCCCGCCCTCCTAAGTGAAGGGAATGTGATCTGAAAAATACAGTTCATAAAACTCCATCTGAAAAAAATTTGAAAAATTAAACCTGAAAATATAAAAAAAAATACAATCAAATACTAAACACAAATCTGAGAAAACAGCGAAGTTCCAAGATATGAATAATTAGTATTTAAAGTATCATTTATGGAAAGCTTTTTGTTCTTTTTTCTAGGTCCAATTTACTAAACGTGTTCTTTATTTGCAACAATAATGGAATAAAAGTCTAGATTTACCCAAGGTTCTGATCAGAAGGATCTTTCAATTCATCCAAAGGTGGATAAAAGGTTTTCATTATCCTTCATATCGAGTCCAAAGATCATAAGATATAATTTAAAAGATCTGTGGGAAGCAAATTTGAATTTATTGCAGATTTTATATTATAAAATAAGGGTCCAAATATACACGATTATCTGGTTGAGTGTTTATTAAAA